GCAACATCATACCTTGAATCCCATTTAAAAATATTTTCATAGTTCTAATTGAGCAATACCTGGTAAATGGCCCTAAAATGTGTCAAATAGGGATTTATATCCCAGTCTGTCCTCAGGCTACTGGAACCGTGGCAGCCTGTCATTTTTAATAATACACTTGAAGAAAAGACTGTGAATGTATATTTGCATCATACCTAAAGTCATTCAGAAGTACCTATCAATGTCCATCAAATAAATAATATACTTTACAAAACTAAACAGAAAAAAATCATTTATATGGAAGGGTTGTGATGCTATCAAAGGGAATAGGATATTTATGTGATTAAAAACAATACACATTTTAATCCTTCCCCTTCTTTCCCCTCGCATTCCCCAACAAGTTTTTGGAAATGACACCTTTGAACACTGTTTTGGGTAGATATCTTCAAAGTCCTAGATGAAACAGGACTAGGTGAAATAGTTAAGGCTAAATTCTTAGCTAGGGCTCCTCTTCAAAGGGGCTTTTAAGCATCACCTCAGCACAGCTGTGCAACCCTTGGCATCGCCCTGGAAGATGCTATGAATTAAATTCATCTCTAAAATACGTTTTTTCCTGATGGTTTTGATGAGCATGCACAAGAGGGCAGATTTGGCCCTCTGCTGGTGTGTGGAGAAATATCCTGTCAATGACATGGGCCGCGGCAACTACTTAAACTCCATCTGGGGAGGGACTATCAGCACTATTTATTCAGTTGGTTTACAGGAGCCACCCTAATCACTCAGCTTGGAGGGCATCTCCAACACACCTACCCCTGCGAGGATGCCACGGGCTGCTTCTGCTTGTGGCACAGCTGCAGCTGAGCCATAGAGTGACGTATGGCCTGAAAGACGTTGCTGTCAAAATAGGAGGTACCCTGAGCTCTGCCACAGGCTACAGCAGCTTGCACAGAGAGCTGGCCACTCAATCACTTCTTCCTGCCATTTCTATGATTTCCCAGGAAATTTCACGTGGCAGACAAGTTGGCTTGTTTGATGACATTGGCCAGGATTTAATATCAAATACGGTAGTTACATTGGCACAATAAAAAAATTGATCGTGTAAAAGAACTGTAGAAATGCATCTCTGTGCCCGCTCAGGCCTCCTTCCTGATTGCAGACCTGCTCCACCATTATGGACGTTGAGGAGTTCAGAGAACGCAGCCAAGTGCACAGCTGAGTCACCAAGGACTCTGTCTCGATTCAATCTCAGATGAGGGTCTCTGAAGTGATGAAATGACAGAGTCCCCGCTATGTATCCAGCTTACATTTCCCCTGTATATGGTCAACTAAGAACAACATTTCCCGGTGCCTCAGAGATTGCCTTGCCTTGGCAAAATTTCCTATTTTGAATAGCCAGCGGCTAGGCGTGATTAACAACGTTAACTTGCTAGTTACATTTTATATTCACTTACCAATACATTGGATAGCACACAGTACTGTAGGAGTACCAGAAATGTGGCACAATTATTCAGTTTTTTATTCATTTAAGTTTTTGATGTTTGTGCCAGACTTGACTTTCTGGATCCACTCTAAATCAAAACATTGTATTATTAAGTCCTCTGAAAATTCACTGCAAATCAGTTTACAGATGACATTGATGTCTTGCTATTGCTATTCATTCCTCCCGGATCATTTCTAACAATTCATTTTTTATTTTCGTGCTGTGCTGAAATATGGTTCACACCAGTATCTGTCCTTTTAGCAATCACCAAAGCAAAGCTTGGCAGTTGTCATATATTGTACTCTTGAGAAAAATGCTAGTGATATTCTGAATGGATAGAACAGCATGGAATCACAACTACCTAGCAGAGAAACCACTTAACTGATTTCAATTCCTGGTTCTGTCTTTTTTCCCCACCCTATTTTAGCTTAGGAAGTGCCAAATGTTGCCATTATTTTTTGATGCATAGAAGGAGCCAATTATTTATAAAAGTATTAATGTAAACGTGCTTGCTTTCATTTTAATGTCCCCTATGAGAAGGCAGAATTATGGATTGTAGCGAGTTCCTTTCATTTAGACTTCCTGAACTAGAGAGTTGCTGCACCAGCCCTTGGCCAGCAGACACTGAGTTGTTCATTGCCCCAGTGATTCACACGAGGTGGAAGAGTCTTTCTTGTCTTAAAAAGACATTTTAAACAGAACGTCACATGCTTTAAAACACACTTTAAGTCCTTGAGCATGACTAAAATGATTAGTAAGACCTGCCATCACTAACATGGCAAGGTTTAATTAAATGGCAGAGATTCACTTGATGTCTAAAGCAAATGCTGCTATTTAGCATGTTATTAGGAAGAAAAAATGACAAAGAATGGGTAAAATGTCAATGCTGTTTTGCTACATGGTTACAGAATTCCCAAAGGCATCTTAACCTCCCACCGAAGAGCTACTTAGGGGACAAGTGTCAGGAACGAAGCAGTGTAAGGGCGGCAGTGGCCACGCTGAAGCGGGAGGTGAACGCGCGGGTGCCTGGGCCACACGTGGGAGCAGCTCCGCGTGCCCCATGCTGGAGCAACGACGCCAGCCCCGGCGTTCCCAAGGCTGCTCGGGCACTTCAGAACACATACGGGTCAGCACGGATGCAAGCTCTACAACCACAAGTGACAGCTGCTAATATCTTTCAAAGTTTTTGCCTTATTTAGGATATCTGTCTGCTTTCTTTAGGCTTGACTCCCCTCCTAACACTGTTTTAAAAAGATGTGTCTAATTTTGACTTGTTCACCATCCATGTAAGTCATCTTGTTACAGCAATGATTTGAAACCATATCAAATCCCTTTTTTACTGTTTTAAAAAGTTGTGTCCAATTTTGACTTGTTCACCATACATGTAAGTCATCTTGTTACAACGATTTGAAACCATATCAAATCCCTTTTTTATTTGCTTATCGTTTTCTTTGGTTCAGTTCCAGAAAACCCTTTAGTGTACAGCATAATCACAGCTAAGTCTTGTCTAAGAAATTCCCTGGCTACTGTTTCAATTGGTTCGTTGCCCTGAAAACAGAAGAGCTTCCGCCTGTATGAAACACACCTCCATTTTGAAAAGTGAACACAAATATGCTACCAGCAAAATTAAATCCTCGCTGAAGCCTTAGTAAAGAATTACTTTTTGAAAGCATCAAATTGCAGTCTTTTGCTTGAAGGAGAATTTTGATACTGTTATTTTAGCAATGTCTCTAAAACAGATCAAAGAACTAGAACAAATCCCTTTCTCATAACTTGACAGATCATCAGCACTGTTTGACACCATCAGGGTACCATTTGTGAGTGCAAAAAACCCACCCCATTACTAATGTAACATTTCCCAGACCCTCAGTACTTCCAGTGTTGTTAATGATTAGATATTTGCTTCCTGCTCCTCAGCACAAAAACAGTTAAATCTTTAGAACTGTTAAAGATATTAAAAATTCTGAAACTCCTAACTTCAACTCACTGACAATTTCCTTGTGATTTTGTTCTTGACCTTCATAGTATGTCATTGCATAATTTATAAATAATCAGAAATATTTCAGATTTTTCATAAACAACAGAATCAGTAAAACTTGGTTATCAAAATCAAACACCTCCATGCATTTCTATTCAAAAGGCAAGTGTACCTGTTCCTTTGAAATTTGGACCGGAGTGGGAAGCACCGCTGTCCTTCAGTAAGTAACAATATCTCAATTTTCTCCTTCCTGTTACAAAGCTTATGTCAACTCTAATATATGGGCACACGAAGCACCAGACCCCCAGCGGGAACTACGCAGCGAATTCCCAACATCTTGTGGTGTTTCCAGTAGAAATCATATTTGTCAAGATAACCAGGAAAAGAAAATCACTTTGGAATAACCTTTTGTTAGAGTCTCTGCTTGTTCTCATATCGGCTATTCTCTAAGTCACAAAGCTTTTTCACCTGCATTGTTCTGTTTTACAGAAGACTGAATAGAAGAAGAGATCTGCCTATACAGATTAACCAACAGAATATTCAAACTACCTTTTTAGGTAGCCCCAAATACGCAAACAACACACAACCCATTATGAAAAAATGTCTAAATGACTATTTCCAAAAGTGCTAACAAACTCTACCAGATTCAAGATATTTTATTAATAAATATCGACCCTCCAGTTGGATAAACAGAATTGATACCTTGTTTACTTGTGATTATTCCTAAACTTCCATACTGGAAATACTCTCTTTAGTGAGAAAAAACATCATTATGCATAATCATGAGGATCAGTTTGAATTAGAAATGCTTTCCATCTCTGAATGCCAGTTTTGGAAGAAAGAGATTTCTCAGAAATGAAAACAGATGCTTTTTTTTTTCCTGAATTCTAAAATTTGACTCTATTCTGTATTTTTAGTAGGTACATTCATTACAATTTTTTAATAAACATAAGTGGAAAGAATGAATTAGCACTTAAATTCTGCAATGCAGGAAATCAGTTTAATGATCATGTATGTAAAATGTTCCCAATGCTAATAATATCATATGAGATCATTAAAAGTGAATGATGCTTGGGATCTAAATCTCTTTTCCTTCTTTAGAAATGCTAACTTCCTGAGTTTTTTCATTTATGCACTGACATATAGTAGCTTCAATTGAGTAGTTTCAATTAATTTTCTTAGTTTGGGTGAATAAAAGAAGGTTTTGGCCATCTTAAACTACATTTTTAGAATAGCGGCTTTGAAGTCACACATAGGATGTACACCAAATGTAGTTATTAATGTGCAGTTTTTACAAAGGAGATGCTACTCTTCTAGACTGAAGAATTTCCAGCAACAAACAAGCCGAATGAAAATGAAGGATGGGTTAGAGGACATCTCAGGATGTGTGAGTGCTGTCTTTCCAGCACCGATGAAACTGGGATTTGGACAAGGATACATTGTTGTTCTGTCTCAAAGCTGACGGAGATAAAAGTATTAATGTTTCAGAAATACAAAATATAACAAAATGTTTTAAGTCTATTAACTTTTTGCTTTTATACCACAGCATGTCAGAACACATACCTTTCTTCCCCCTGTGTTTATGCGAAGTGGAGTTAGGAAGGGATCAAAAATCATATGGCTGGTTTCAATATTAACAGGTGACTGTCTTTTCCCCACAGAGCAAAGATTCCAAGCTGAGTTCACCAAACCCCAAAAGGAGGGAACTGCAAAATATCAAAAAAAAAAAATTTGAGAAAAGTCTGGAAAGAGTAAGAGAAATATCTGCAAGGATTTATTAAACTTGTCATATGGTCTCTGTGCTCAGTGAAACTGAAAACACAGATATGTTAATCAAGTTAATCAATGTAAAACATTATACACAAAGACCAAAATGTATTATTTCATATATTCTCATATCAGCATACTATTTTCTATCTTGAAGAAACCTACATATAATACAAGATTCAATTAGAAATAGCTCCTTTGTTATTAGTATCATGGAGTATTTACTTGGCAATGCTCATGTGACTCATTTGTCCTTAGGCTAACTTTCATGCATACAGTGTATCTTTGGATTGGAAACATTCCATTTCTACTCAACTTTTTAAAAGTCCTCCTATTTAGTGAAATTCTTTTAAAAAATAAAAGATTATTATATATGAAACTCACATTTTGTGATTCCAGAGGGCAGGTTGCTCTCTTGACATGTTTTATTTATTTATTTTCCATCCTCCCAAACCTCTTTAGTCAAAGTTTAGATTTTAAAAGATTATTGTTGGAAAAAAACATACTTGGGTGGTGAGCAATGGTAGTTCGATCCCCATGTCTGCAATGGCCTGGAACATGGAGCAACCCCTGTTTTTTCACAGGCTGAGTCACTTCTAAAGTTTTTGTACCTAATTGGCGAAGATGGAAGATTGTTTTGTGTGTTAGTCTGTCCTGCTTCTCGTCAGATACCTGCAGGTTGAAAGGTCATGTGGCATCTAATCCACAATTTCAAAATATAGACAAGACCAATCTGAGCCTCTCGTTGGATGATCAGAATATTTGTGGCTAAATGACTGAAGAGCAACTCACAAGGGATATGAAGGACAGACAAATTTTGGTGTGCATCTTTTGCTCCTCCTGAAGTTTATGATGAGGCAGCTTTGGCTTTATCATAATTATTCTGTGCAGTTTGTGTAGCAAGTGGAAATTTACAGGTCCTGATGTTGATGCCCTTCTTGGAGTGTTTAGATTATGTTTTAATTTTTTCAAAACCTTTGAGTCTCACAGCATTTTTGTGCTCTCCAAACTGTGTGTGGTTAAGGTTACAAACCCGGAGTGGAGGAAGGAGCATGAGGCTGAGCTCCTGGGGCAGGAGCCCAGGTGTTTTGCCTAAAGGGTAGAGGTGAAGAGAACCCATCAGCAGCTTATAAGAAGCCCTGGGGAGGCCAGTGCTGGTTGTATGCTGGATTTCGGGGTGTGAGTGCTTTCCACTGAGTGCAGTCTGCCTACTTGTGGGGGAGCTGCATGCGTTGTTGCTTTGAGTTGAGCCTCAACGTTTGTAGCAGACTCAGCTCATCGGGAATGTTACTTGGAGAAGAAATGTC